AAACGACGCGCTTGTAAACCGATCGCCGTCCCCTTGGCGCGCACTTTAGAGAGATAATTCTACATGCGTGAATATAGCTTGAACCTATCCCTAATTTTCGATATCCAAACGAGAAATAGAGAGATGGAAGTGAGAGAGGAAGCCCTTCTCTATTCTCGATAATATTAATTATGCATTCTCGATGGCATCAAGTAATTATGTTCTAATCATTAATTGCACTTGCCTGACAGGCAAGGATCATCATGAAATATGGAAACAGTTTTGAAGGAGTGGGGGTTAAATCTGTGTAAACCTATGGACCCGCTTTCAAATACCGTGTCCTTAGCAAGTGAAGCCACCATGGATTTCCAATGATTATTAATTAATATACTCGTTGGATTGGGGCAACTTTAATGATACGTAGTTTATGTATTAGTGGTAGTAGTGTATTTGAAACAATTAATTAATGATGAACATTGCCATGTACATTGATAAAATTGATCCATGGGTGTATGTGCGTGTGTGTGTGTTTGGGTAGAGACAGTTTTAGGCTATCTTCAATTAAATCCTGAGTGATTTATTGACAAGATTGACACAATTTTACACTGTGTGTTGTTATTTTTGATTTTTGATTTTGAATTTTTTTTTAGAAGTAGCACTTTAAAAAAAGTTGCAGGGATCACAGTTTGTCCGCTCTTTAACATAATCTCCTTTTTCTTTCCTCTTTTAACCCTTTTTAAAAAAAAGAAAACTTTAAATAAAAATTAATAAAATTAACTCTTTAACCTTCGCGCTACTAAAGATTCTTGTATACACGGACTACCGATTGGCCACCCGGGGTGGCCAAACGCTTTTTTGTTTTTATGTTCCAAAAACGATTAAAATTCATCAAAGTTTTTCTATATAATTATGTGTTATTACAAATACTGTATTTCAATAAAGTTTTTATGCATATTGCATTTGTTTAAACAATTTATTATTGCAAAATCATACAATTTTTAAATAAATAAAGGGATTAGACAATTTTTTACAACTTTTCTTTTTTTTACTTTACTTAGTATTAAATCAATAAATTAAAGACAATATTTACTAAAACGAGTCATAAGTATTATTAAAAAATTATTTAAACAAATGATTGTTGTTATTTACCAACTTTTTACAGAATACACCTAGGAAGTTGCAGTTTTTTTTCCTAATTTTGCAAATTACTAAACTCTATATGATTTCAAATAAAGAATAAAAATTGAATTATTATTTGAACAATCTTTAAACAAATTAATAATTTGTTTATAAATTGTAATTTATAATCATATAAGGTTTAGTAAATTGCAAAATTAGGAAAAAACTGCAACTATCTAGGTACATTCTGTAAAAAGTTGATAAGAAACAACAATAATTTGTTTAAAGAAATAAAAAATTCTTTGTAACAACCAAATATATTGTATTTATTGACATAAAACAATTTTACTGTAAAACTTTGATGATTCTATTTTTATTTTTTTGCAATATATACATTTTTTAGTACTGTTGAAGAAAAAAAATTTCTATCTTTGCAAACTTTGGAAAAATTTCACTTACTTTTAAAGGAAGGATTCACTGATATTTTGAACTATATCCAGAAAATAATTTAAATATTTCATAAAATTGTTTTTATACTAATTTTTTTAGAGGAGTTCAATTTCATAAAATAAATCATTCTGAGGATATTTTGAAGATTTTTGAATTTTTATTTTACTTAAAAATTGATAAATTTTGAAATATCTGCGTAATTTTGAAGAAAATATGTTTCTGTAGCCACAAAAAAATTTTCCGAATAAAGAAATTGATCTTTATTTATTTTTGATGCAGTTTCTTCGGCAAAAAAACTTTGTTTTCAGAATTGAACTGATAAAAAAATACCATTGTTACTCAATTTTTCAATTTGAAAATTCATTTGTTTATTTTTCTTACTTATTTCTTATCATAATTTCATCATAATTTATCTATATTATAAAATAAAATTATAATTTTTCTTCTTTTTATAGAGAAATTTTCTTTAGAAATCATAAAAATAATATGATCCACAAATTCGGAATAAGAAATTATTTGTCAATATAAATATTTTCAAAAATTAATGGTTAAAAATCAAAAACAAAATTAAACATTAAGAATGTTTATAATATTTTTTATAAATAACGCAATATTAAAAAAATACCATTTCTGAATAATTTTTTGCAGTTATTACTAACTTTGACATGTAAAAACTAAAAATACACATTAAGTTTGTTATCAAAAGTGCAGTCGTCTGTTATAAATATATAGTTATTTACAAACAAAATATGTTTACATGTAGAAAAGCAACAGAAATTAATTATTATCTATAGAAAAAAAATAATTTTGTAAATTTCTACATTTCCTAATATTTACTAGAATTCATGTAAAAATTTTTTAGAATTTTTATTATATTTTAAGTACATTTATTTTACAGAATAATTCTTGTAAAATTCTCTAAAATTTTTTTAACTAAAAATGAACTGTTTACTAGTATTATTATTATTTGTTACTTAATTTGAAAATTCTTCTTATTTTAAATTAAATTTTTTTTTTTGAAAATTAAAATACGCTTTTTTACCTAATATTATATGGGAAAAGTACTGTGATCCCTGAAGTTGTCAAATTAGAACAAGAAGATTTTGAAATCAAAGACGTTTTTGAAATTTTAATAAATAAGAGTTAAATAATTAATCATTAATTAATAAATTAATTAATAAATAAAAGTTTAGTATTTAAAAATTTGGTTTTAAATAAGTACTTGCTTTAATTTAACAATTTATTTATTTTTCTTTAAACTTATTTTTCTACAATTTTTCTACAACTCTTTTGCAATTTTTTTTGTACTTCCGTTTATATTTATTTATTTGTTATTTCTATATTATTGATAGCAATAAGTGTAATTAAAATAATAATGCACCCATTAGTGATAAACTTACTGCTGCTTTAGATAAACATTTATCGCTTCTTTTTTTGAGTGTCGTTTAAGTTTTTCGAACTCTGACGTCTTATCAATTAGTTCATTCATTAATCGTGAATTGAGAACATTCTACTTGCCAGAAGGAATTTATCAGGCTCTATAACGATGTGTGGTTTGGATCAATGTACAAAAAATTGGTTGGAAGAAAATTTAATTCCAGAATTGAAAAATTACTACACAAAATTCAATTATTTGGATGTGAAATACAAATTTTCAGTTCCTGAAGATTCTTATTTTTTATCGTCACTCTTTTTTCTCGATTTACAATTTTTTGATGATGGAAAAAATCTTACAAACACGGTTAGTTGTCAAAAAAACAATTTACCACCTAAAAATTAAAAATACAAATTAATTTTAAAACTGATAGAAAAAAATCGGCTTTTGTTTAAAAAAAATCATTTTTAAAATATTTAAAAATTAATAAGAAAAAATAATTTTAAAATTGTAAAAATATTTCTTTTTGTTACAGAAAATTTTTTTTCCTTATATTTAAACATTGATAACAAAATTTTTTCTTTCTTTCAAAATGAGTTTTTGTTATTAATTTCTAAACCTTTAGAAACAAAATTTTTGTTGCAACAAAAAACAAATATTTTTACTGTTTGAAAATCGTTTTTTTATTAATTTTTAAATCTTTGAAAAATATTTTTTTAAATAAAAGACAAAATTTTTCTGTTAAAATTATGTGAGGCTTTAAAAATATTTTTTCTAATGATTGAAAAACTTTTTTAGATTCAACTTGTCGTGAAACGTCCCTCAAATAGTGCGCACATTATGGAATACATGAATTTTGATTGTCTTTTCCATAACGAAATTCTTTTTTACAAAAAATGTTCTCGTCTCTATAATTGTTGTTCAGAGTTTATTGACATAACACCAAGAGATAATTCGTTAATTATTATCATAGAAAATTTGGGTGGTAAAAATTATCATTTAAATTCCATCAAAGTCAATGTTGAAGATGAAATTGTTTTGGCAGCAATTTGTGAATTGGCAAAATTTCATGCCAAAGGTTACATTCAAAAATACAAGGAACCGGAGAAATTCTTTCAAATTGTCAAACAATTAAAAACTTTCGATCAAGTGCACACGGAAAAATCAAAGATTCTCATCAACTTTACCCTAACAAGAGTATTCAATTATCTTCGTAAGGAAAAATACGATTCAAAATTTTGTGATAAACTGGAAAATTATTTAGAAAATTCCTATTCAGTGATGACTGAATTATGTAAACCAATCGAGCCATTAGCTACAATAAATCATGGTGACTTTACAATAAATAATATTCTTTACAAGAGAGAAGAGGATAAAATGAAAATTAAACTTATCGATTTTTCCATGATTACCTATTGTTCGCCATTTTTTGATTTTTCCGTTTTTTTACTATTAAACGGAAGTCGTGAGCAGTGGAGGGAGAAATTTACCACAATTTTTAATGCCTATTGTGAAACGCTATTGGAAATTTTAGAAGAAAATGGAATTGAAAATCTTGAAATATTTTCGAAAGAACGTTTATATGAGGAATATAAACAACACGCGATTATTGGTTTTATTACTTCTTGTTTTTTTCGACCATGTCTAATGGGATGTTTTGGAGGGAATACAAATCATTTACAGGAAAAAACATTAGAGGAAAAAAGTAAATCTTTTGCTACAATTGGAGGCGATGAAGTGACAAAAATTTTAGTCGAAATGTTATTTGATTTGAAGGAAATTGGATGTTTAGATCATGTTATTAATAATTAAAAATAATAAAAATAATAAATCATTATCCAACAAAATTGTCATTTATTTTGTTTCTAAAAAAAAAGTTTGCTTCTTATTTTGTTTTAAAACGAAAAAAACCGTAATAGACTTTTTATTTACATACTTTATTATAAATAGATGGCTTTAACATATATAATTATTATTACAAAATGTATTTTTTATCTTAGACGAGCGAACTGAATAAAAAAAAGTGGGGAGAGTGATAAGGTAAAGGCAATTCGATAACAGTTCCATTTCAATAAGACCAGACTGTTGACATATATAGGAACTAATAATAGATTTGGAAATATTATTTTTTAGTTTTATTTCAATTTAGTTTTATTTTAATTCAGTTTAATTGAATGATAAGTAATTATGACTGACATTGAAAATTGGTTGGACGAAAATTTAATTCCAAAATTGAAGACTTGTTTAAAGAAAACAGAATGCAAAGTGGAATATGTAATTTCAGTGCCAACTGATTGTGTTTTTATGGCTCGAGTATGTCTTCTGGATTTGAAATTTATTAATAACCAAGAAAAAATTGAAAATCAGGTAAGTCAATTGCAGTTTCCCTTGGAAATTTATATCAAATAGAAAAAAAATAATATTGAAAATAAACAAATTAAGTTTTGATTTCTTTGTATAATTTATGGTTTATTTATGGATCCAGGAAAATTATTGTACAAATAAATAAACAAATAAAGAAAATCAATGAAGTGAGTAAACTAAATAAAAAATGAATAAATTTATATAAATAAATAAATAAATTTATGAAAGAAAAATAAATAAAGCAAACGAAATTAATAAATAATTATAAACTAAAGAAATTAAACAAAATAAATCAAATAAAAAACATCAAATAAGGTGAAAAAAAATTAATTTTTGTAAAAAATATACAGTTTTTAAATTCTCAACAGTAAGTTGTAATAAATAGTAAAATCAGGACACTAAAAATGTAATTATATTAAATATTATAATCACTAAATTATAATACTTTTACTATATTATCGTTTCGTTAAAAAACTAAGTTTTCAGTAATTAAATACAAATTTTTTTGTTAAAAATAAAACAATTAGCTACTATTTGTAATATTGTACATTTTGTATTATATCTTTGTTTACAAAAGATAAAAAAATGTGTTCTAAAACTTGTTTCGTTACATAATTTCCAAACAATTGAGTAAATTCTAAAGTTAACTTTATCTTATCGCCTTGACTTTCAAAACGAAGTCATTAAATTTCACTACTTTATAATTATTAAATATTAACTTCTGTTATTACTTTTAAACTTTAACTGCTGTTCTTTTTTTACTACTTGCAATTGCAATTGTTTTACATGAAATGTAACAAATAAATTTAACATGAAAATTTGTTTATAAGATAAATTAATTAATTAGGCAATTAAATTAATTAAATTTAATTAAATATTTAATTAATTAAATTAATTAATTTTTAATAAAAATTGATTTTTTCAAAAAAATATATGAAATAATATAAATAATATAAAAAATGTAAATAGTTTATTAAAATGGAAAATGATTTTTTTTCATTCTTTGAGAGATTAAATAATGTAAATACATGTAAATAATATAAAATATGTATATAAAAATATGTAAATATATTAATAACTGAATTATAAACAAATATATAAAAAGGAATAGGTATCAAAAAATATAAGTGAAAACTATATCTACATTTAATAATGGTTTTAATGCCTTATAAAAATATTCAATTCAATAAAAAATATTTACTTAAGTAAAATACAATAATAAAAATATAAAGAAATAATATATTATGTTTTGTCAAATTGAAATTATGCAGATTTTTATTCTTTACTTCTAAAGAAAATTAAAAAATTGTTAAACAGCTGTGATTAAGAAATAGAAAATTTATTTATTTTGCATTATTTTTCTTCATGAATCACAATTTTTTTAACAAAATTATTATTCAGTTTTAGAAAAAGAAGAAAAATATTTGCACAATTCCTATTTTTAATTTTATTTTTAAAACAGGATTTTCCACAAGAATTAAGACATTCAAAAGATTCAAATTCAAACCTTTTTTAAATTAAACAATTTATAAAAGTATTGTTATAAAACATGAAGATATCGATTGCTTCGAGTCGCAGACTCGGAGTGATCGATTTCTTCATGTTTTATAATAATTAAAGATGACCGAGAGATAAAATCATTATTTTATATTATAAGAATATTGTTACTGTAACTTCATCAAAATTTTTTTCATCATTTAAATATTATAATTGAATTATTATTTTCTTGAATTTTAAATTATTTTTTATGAAAATAATTAAATACCTTAAAAAAATTTTATTACTTTTGAAAATAATTGAATTTCTTGTGAAATGTTTATTATTTATGAAAATAATTAAATGTTTGCATACAATTTTATTAAAAAATTTTTAAATAATTAAATTCTTTTTTGGAAATTCTTATTAAAATAGTAGATATTGAAAATCATTGAAATTAGAATAATTTTTGAAAATAATTAAAATTAGGACAAGAATTTTTTTTGAGTTTTATGTGAATAATTGAAATTTGGAGAAGAATTTTGTTATTTATAAAGATAATTGGGATTTTTACGAGAATTTTTTTCAAAATTTTGAACAAAGTTTAATTTTATAAAAATAATTTTATTTTTTTTTTTAATAATTGAATTTTTGCAATTATTTGTAATTTCTCTAAAATTGAATTTTTTAGTGTTTTCAACAAGAATTTAAATTAGAAAATTTTTAAATTCTATTATTTTTAAAAGTTGCTAATTTTATTTAAAAAAGGTAGTAAAAAGTTAGCGCCCAAATTGTTGCTAGTAAATAAATAAAAATCCAAAAAGTGAAAATGTGCAGAGTTAATTAATTAGTCTCAGTAATTAATTTTAATTATTATGCAAATAATTTGATAAAAAGCCAATTGTACATTAAATTTTCAGATTTATTTGGCTGTAAAACGTCCTCCGCTGGGTGAAAAAGGTCGCCATGTATTCAACCTTGACGCAGCGTTTCACAATGAAATACTTTTCTACACGAAATTTGCAAAATACACCGACGACTTTCCAAAATTATATTACGCTCATGAAAAACCTTCGTATGACTCTGTTATTGTCACAGAAAACATTAACCATCAAGGTTACTATTTAAATTCAAACAAGGCGAATTTAAACATCAATTACATTATATCGTCAATGCGTGAAATTGCCAAATTTCATGCCAAAGGTTACATAATGAAAGAAAAAAATCCCAAAGAATTTTTCGAAATAGTAAAAAGTATACAAACTTGTCGTCTACCACCAACGGAAAATAGTCATGGAGTAAAGAAAACCAGACCCTCCGTTAAAAGAATAATTAACTATCTCCAAAAACATAATTACGATGAAACTTTTACCAAAAAATTACAAAAATTTTTACTCAATGGATTTTCATATGCACAATTAGAACTTTCCAAACCAGTCGAACCATTATCCACATTATGTCACGGTGATTTTATTCGAAATAATGTATTTTTCCAAGTAACGGATAATTTAATTAAAACAAAATTAATTGATTTTGGAATGATAAATTATGGTTCACCGTGTAATGATGTTGCACATTTTTTGTATTTAAGTGGAGCTCGATTACACCGGAGGGAGAAATTTCAAGAAATTTTCGACGAATATCACAAAACATTGATGGAGAATTTAAAAAATGCTGGTTTAGTGGATCTTGAGAGATTTTCTAAGGATTTGTTTTTGGAAAATTACAAAAGACATGCTTTCTTTGGTTACTCGATAGCCGTTATTTTTTTGCCTGTTATGCTGGGACTATTTAAAGAAACAACTGATGAATTATTATCTCTTCCTATTGATGAATTCGCTCAAATGTTTGCCGACGTTGGTGGCGATGATTATACGGAAACTTTAGTGCAAATGATATTTGATTTGCGAGACGCTGGAACTTTGGATGTTATAAATGATGTTTCAGTTGAATAAATTTTTGATATTTTCTATTCTAGGGCTCGAACTAGGTCCGTAAATTTCGTAAAGGTCCGTAAATTTGCTTGAAGTCTGTAAAAGCCAAGTTTTTTGAAAAAAAGTCCGCAATTTGATTAAAAAAGGATGAAAATTTCGTAAGTTGTACGATATAATTTGGAGAATTTTAAAGAAATTACAAATGATAGCAGAAATTCAATTATTTTCAAAAGTAATAAAATTCTTTGCAGACATTCAATTATATTCAAAAATCTTTAAAAATTGTCGACAAAATTTCAATTATTATTCACTATATTATCTTTGAAAATAATTAAATTCTTCTCCAAAATTCAATTATTTTTAAAAATTTTAATAAAATTCTTGGCAAAATTTCAATTATTTTCAAAAATTTTCCTCAATTAAATTCTCAAAATCTACTATTTTAATAAAATTTTCCAAAAAATTCAATTATTTCCATAAAATAATAAAAATTTCATAGGAATTCAATTATTTACAAAATTTTTTATAAATTTCTTTGTAATCATTCAATTATTTTCATAAATAATAAAATTTTTACAGGGATTCAATTATTTTCGTAAAATAAAAAAAATTTCATAGGAATTCAATTATTTACAAAAATTTTTATAAATTTCTTTGTAATCATTCAATTATTTTCATAAATAATAAAATTTTTACAGGGATTCAATTATTTTCGTAAATAATAAAACTTTTTTTAGAAATTAAAATATTTTCATAAACAATAAAACTAATTGCAGGATTTCAATTATGTATATTACCATTTCGAATTCGTCGAAAAATGTAATTATTCTTAAAAATTTTAATAAAATCCGTCAAAAGAATTGAATTATTTAAAAATTTATTGATAAAATTCTTTTTGAGAATTCAGTTTTAAGAAACATGCAATAATTATTCTATAAATTGTATTTTTTTTATTTAAATAATTGACTTTTTGTAGAATTTTCTAATAAAAATTGATTTATAAATGGATTTCAGTTAAAATTTTGGATAATAATTGAATTTTAGAAGCATTAGAACGTGACTTTTTAGAAATAATTGAATTTTGGAAAAGTTTTAAATTTAAATGTTTGAAAATCTGAATTTTTTATATTTTTAACTAACAATTCTGTGGAATTAATTTTTTTGAAAAAGTTTAATTGAATGTTTTTATATTATTTTATGTTTTTATTTTCTAATATATATTTAATTGAAGAATTTACGAATAATTGAAGTTTTGTAAAATTTAATTGTAAACAAATGAATTTGAAAATTTTCAAATAACTTTTTAAAAAATTATTAAAAATAATGCTTTTATAGAAAAATTTTAGTTAAAAACAAAAAAAAAATTTAATCTTGGAAAAGTTTGCAATTTTTTGGAAAAATTCAATTATTTTCAAGAGTAATAATATTCTTCGCAAAAAATAACTATTGTTCAAAAACAATAAAATTTTTCTTAAAGATTCAATTATTTTGACAAAAAATAAAGCTTACCTATCGCAGAATTTTAATTATTTTAAAAACAATTTTAATCGAATTCGTCAAAAAATGTAGGTAATTATTCTTAAAAATTTTATTGAAATTCATCAAAAGAATTCGATTAATCAAAAATTTGTTGTTAAAATTTTTTATGGGAATTGGATTTTAAGAAACGTTCAATTATTTAGTAAATTATTTATTTTTGTATTTAAATAATTGAATTCTAGTAGAATTTTGTAATAAAAATTGATATAAAAATGAATTTCAGTTAAAATTTTACATAATAATTGAATATTAAAAGCAATATAGCGTAAATTTTTAGAAATAATTGAATTTTGAAATTTATTTTTTTGAGAAAGTTTAATGGAATTATTTTCGTAAATAATAAAATTCTTTTTAGGAATTCAATTATTTTCATAAACAATAAAACTTATTGAAGAATTTTAATTATTTTTATTAGAATTTTAATTAAATTCGTCAAAAAATTTAATTATTCTTAAAAATTCTATAAAAAATTAAAAATTCGTCAAAAAAAATTAAATTATTTAAGAATATGTTGATAAAATTCAATATGAGAATTGAATTTTAAGAAACATTCAATTATTTAATAAATTATTTATTTTTGTATTTAAATAATTGAATTCTAGTAGAATTTTCAAATAAAAATTGATTTAAAAATGAATATCAGTTAAAATTTTAGATAATAATTGAATATTAAAAGCAATATAGCGTGGATTTTTAGAAATAATTGAATTTTGAAATTTATTTTTTTGAAGAAGTTTGATTTTTTTTATATTGTTTTATGTTTTTATTTTATAATATATATTTAATTGAAGAATTTACAAATAATTGGAATTTCGTACAATTAAATATTGTAAACAAATAGACTTGAAAATTGTCAAGAAACTTTTTCGAAAATTATGAAAAATTATCGATTTAAAGAAGAATTTAAAGTGAAATGTTCTCTTATTTGACTCGGACTGGTTATATTTTGTGTCAGTAATTGGTCCGTAAATGGTCCATAATTTTTCATTTTTGGTCCGTAATGTCCGTATTTTTTAAATACTTTCACTGGTTCGAGCCCTGCTATTCTTTTTTTTCAAAAAGCAGTTTGAATATAATTAAGTAAGGAAAGAATTCTAATTCATTTAGTTGTAAGGGACTGGAAAATGAAAATTATAATAACGGTTTTTAAACAAAAATGACCAAAAATGTATTTTTACGATTTACATTAATAAAATTGAAGGAAATTCTGCTAAAACGCATTTGTTTATTTACAAATTACAATACCTACAAATTTGAATAATTAAAAAAAATGTTCCCAACAAAATACGGTTAATAATTTAGAAAAGAAATTAAAATATGTTTCGTGAATAAAATTTTCTAAAAACTTCTCTTCTTTTTCGAAAAACTTAAATAGAAACCAATATGAATCAATATCAACCAATATTTTATGCTCTCTTGTACATTCGTCTATATAGTTATTTTAAAAACACTAGGAGCATTGAATTGATTTTTCCGGAGTGTTCCAGACATGCTTTATCTGCTTTCTTTGTCAGAGGTGTCGAGCATAAAACCCGAATGCGTTTTTCATTGTATGCTGCTTCTGTCGTTTCTGAGCAAGCGACCAAAAAAAAAGAAGAAGAAAAAAAAATAAATAAAGAAAAAAAAAGAAAAGAGGATAGAAAAATAGCACAGAGTGTGAGTAATATAATAACCGAGAGCAGGTGTACATACACACAGTTGCTTTATAAAAATTTCACTAAAAAAACGCACACACACACAGACAGAAACTCATACAGATGCGAGAAATATTATATCGTTGCTAAAATTTAGGGTGCTTTTAGAAAGTGGCTGTTCCACTGAAAAAAGATGGATATGTAAATCCTGCACTTTTACAAAAAAAAAAAAAAAAAAAAAAATGTGTATGAGAGAGATGAATACATGCTTTTATCGTGTAAAATGTTTCACGATCATGCCTTTGATAAAGATAAATGTACTAAGCGAAATCGTATATAAAAAAATGAGTTCAATCCTACAATAGAACTGTCATTTCTTTAAATAGTTTTTTTAAATTTACGGATTTAGATTTAGAGCAGTCCAATATTGGACCATAAATGGGTAACTAGAGAAAAATAAAACAATTAAGCAACAAAATTATTAATAGGAAGAAAAGTTTTGTAACAAAAAAAAATATTTTACTCTTTGCAAACTTAATAGTTAATATACAGAAAAAAGACTAATTTTCAGCAATATAAATAGAAGATCAAAAAAAAATAAAATAAGAGAAGAGAAGAGAATCAAAGCGAGAAGCAATGGAAATAAAGGGATTATTGAAAATAGCTAAAACTAACGAGATAAAAAAAAGAGGATAAGCCTATAGAATGAACTCATCGTGTCATCATACAAAGGGGTTAACGACAGAGTAGAATCATGTCAACAGGAAAATCGATGGTTTAAAAATCAAGCCTGGTTGTTAATTCTTGTTACACTGTCCCTCATCGTCTCTTGTGTGTACCGCACAATTCTGGCCACGATCTCTTCCCCTTCCCTTTCCCCAAAAACCACCTAGCTCACCACTGTCGAACCACCAAACGCTATTCGCGACATCCACTACATCGTTTGTGATGGACGAGGGAAATATCGACAAGCATAGTCCATTAAAAATGGTTTGTTTGCACTTCAACAATGTCCCCACAAAAAAAAAAATGCCTTGTTATCCTCTTTTCGTTCTCGAAAAAAACTCCCTAAATACCTTGAAAAATTGCCCCCGTGTGACACTCGTTTTTTTGGTTAATGTACACGGAAGTCAATGATACTTGTCAAAAAAAAAAAAGAAGAGTATACTTGATTTTTTGTTTTCAATCCAAAAAGTACTTTTTTCCTATACAATTAAATTAATGTCATACAATTATTATTATTTTCCCTAAAAAAAAGTAAATAAGCGTTTGAAGGAACAAAAAGTACTTTTTCCCCTACAATTCAATTAATGTAAAAACTAAAAACAATTATTATTATTTTCCCTTTTAAAAAAGTAAATAAGCATTTGAAAGAACAAAAATAGTTTCAATTGTTGTTTTCTGTTTTTTTTTGAAATTACAATACAATATATTGCGCGTAAAACAATGATTATATGGAATGAGATTGCCATCCATAGGTGAGTGTATATAAATATATATAGATACACGTAGAGTGTGTAACAAGAAACGATGCACATCGTTTGTATTGGAGAGATATTGTACATACACGAAAGCGAAGCGTGGCGTTAACGTTAATCCGAAAATCCAATCGGACCTCATAATCGAACAAATCGATAGTTACGTTTACCATACACGAGCATCAGCAATATCAGTTCCTTTTCGGGCTACCATTACATTTCGCGTTTGTTAATTCGTCTGTGGCTTTATTGAAGCTTAATTAAATCGAACCTCCAAAATTAAGGAGCGAAATTTCCATTCATTGATCATTATTATAAAAATTGAAATATAAAAATATTAATAAATAATGTTAGTATATTTTAATTTTATTATTATTATTATTATTATTATTATTATTATTATTATTATTATTATTATTATTTTATCAAAATAAATTTTTTTAGTGAGCCATTACTTGATTCAAATAATATTT